GGTGTCTGTGGCTGGCAGATTCGCGCCGGATGCTGAGTGCTCCGACGGCTTCCGCGATTTTTGCTCCTCTTTCGTTTTTTCGTCTCATGTTCTTGATCTCCCTGGCTCCTGCGGCTGATAGGAGCGGGGAAGCGGGGTGCAGTTGGTCCGTCCTGCAGCACGGAGGAAAATGCTGACGACTTCCTGTTGTCTACCGGTGATCGTGATCTTGGAGATTTTTCCCAAGTGAACGGGGCCTCAGTTCGCTTTCTCATCTCGCGTGCGCTCGTCTCGAACTGTTGCGCTGTGCGTCCGGCATTAACTTTTGAAACTTATGAGCTTTTGAGGTGACTCTGTCTTTTTTTTAGCATGTGGGATCCCCGAGGGTTTCATCGGAACGGGTCGTGCGAATTTTCCGGTATTTCCTTGTGTTCATTGTGCGTGCGGTAACGCGGACGGCTCGTCTCGTTGTGGGTAAGTCGTCCCTGCTGGTGCAACACTGTCCTAGCCGACTTAACCCGCGAGATGTCCACGTCTCGCGCATCTCACAGTCTACAGAGCCCAGTTCACACCGCCGGCCAACGGCGCCGTCCAACGACGACGTCATCCAACGCCGACCGCGCGGTCTGCGCCACCCTCTCCAACCTGCGCAGCACCGATCGCTGACCACCCGTTGACGGCAAGCGGCAGCATCCACTACGGGCAAGCACACGTCCGCAGCCATAAACCACAGGAACGAGCCATAAACCACAGGAACGAGCCACCCACAGAGGAAGCGGCGCCACCCCAGCCATGGGATCTCAAGTCGACGACATCACCAAGAAGACCTACGCCCTAGCTGACTGCAACCCCGAGGAGGGCCACAAGCGCCGAGAGCAGCCCCCACACATGGACGAGGAAGTCCGCTCACCAGCAGCAGAACTTAATTTTTGTTTTTTGCAAAAATCAACCGCCCAATCAATGTAACACCCCCCCCCCTTCTTAAATGACCCCTTTTAAAATAAGCAGAGAATTACGAGCAGACAACGGAGGGAGGGTTCTCGACAGGGCGAAGAAAGGAAAGAGAGTAAACAGAGCCCTACCACCTCGCGGTCGGGCGGACCACGGGAACCGCCATGCCACCGGCGCAATGCCGCCGTGCCGCGTCCGTCGTCGCCACCGCCGAAAGTTGCCATCTCCCTTTTACGAGCGCCGCAAGCGCCGCTCTGGTTAAGGCGGGGGGGAGTATAACGATCGGATCGTGGGGCGATGGCGATTTCGGCAAGGGCGATAGCCGCGCCGCGGGGGCATTGCACCGGCTTGCTGAAGTCCCCGGATTCCCACGAAAACTCCGCCTGGGTATAGTGTGAACGGCCACTAACTCAAAACATTAGGCCAGCGCGCCGGATTTCGGACAAAGCAGCGATTTCCAACACCCTGCGAGCGGGCAAATCTACCGTTTTGGCAGAGGTCCGGCGCGATAGCATGGTTTTCCGCTGAACGCGGAAATCCGTAAACATCAGTGCCGGAAACGAGAAACAACAGCTAAGGACTTTCAGGAGGGAACCATGGAAAGCTCGACCGCGAACCTACCTTCGAAGTCAGTAGTCTCCGAGGTGTTACCCAAGCTGCTCCTCACTGCGCCCAGCCCCAAACCCAGTGCGACCCTCGCCTTGTCGAGAACCCCCCCCCCCTTTTTGTTTGCGAGTTGTTGAGTTGTTGAGTTTGTTGTCGAGTTGTTGAGTCTAGAGTCTGTTATTTTAGTAGCGAATAAAATAATCTATTTTGGTCATCTATTTGTCTGTTGGTCTGATCATCTATCCTGAATCGTCGATCTATAGGTGGTAAGATCCCTTCAATTGATTCGAGTCGTCAGAGCTCTAAATCTGACTGGTGGAGGCAACAAGATCGCCCCAAAGGAGAGTGGTAGTTGTTAGTAGAGTGCCCTTTTGGCCCTACCCCCAGCGACCGTTATAAATATAACCCTTTTCAGTGGTGAGAATGGCATTCTCTTTTACTACTGTAGGGAATGGTTCTTTACATTTTTCATCCTGAACGGGTACCTTAAGGAGGAGGCGCTATAAAGGAAACTGTATTCCCTATTGGTGGGGTTATAAAATCTATATTATATAGCTACAAGCAAAATCTTGGAAGCACTATTTCTGACAAACTGCCGGACCGATAAGGATGATCTTTACATGTATGTCATCTGTAGTAGATGTAGATGTGCAAAAAATTATGAAACTCCGAACTTTTAATGTTGTAGAGCTTTTAAAGCTCATGTCACTTAAGTCCAATGTTAATAGCGTGAGAGTTATGTCGTTTCCACTAGAAACGTCAAGGTGTGGGATTCTACCTGAGTGACTCGAATAAACAATATAAAACAATGGAAAAGCTCGTGATGGGCTCCTCATTGAGTGAATGAAGAGTTGAGGAACGGTGCATCGCTCAGGGTTCAAGGTTCAAGGTCCAAGGTGTAAGGTTTAA